CAGGGTTTGTATACAATAGCTAGGGATCCCCTATCTCTTACTGGTTGTTCCTGAAATGGGGTGATCATGAGAGATGTCTCTGCAGGGTCCCCCTTTTTCACATCTTCCAGATGAGACACTGCCATCGGGGCTGTGGGAATCGTCAGGGAGTGGGGTCTTTGGAGTCGCATTACTGACTGCCTTCCCTTGAGTGAGCGGTAGACATGCAGGAGAAGGGGAACCAGATCTGATCTGGGAAGTTCCAGAAGTCAGGGTAGAGTGTGGGTGGAGCTGGAGGTGAAGGAGGTGCCAGTAGGGAAGTAAAGGATTTCTTTAAGAGAGATAAAAGGTTATAGAGTTCTTGATTAGCATTTCTAAGTTGTTTGTTGGCCTCTTGTAGGGGGATGAGGCAGTCTTCCACACTTTTGCTGCTCTCCAGATACCACTAAAAGTAGCCCCCCCATTCTGGTTGTTTAGTTTTAGTGCCTGCATTTTCCATCCTGGTTAACAGGTACACTAATCTGGGCATCTCAAAAGATCCCCACTTAGGCCATTGTAATTCAGAATCTGCTTTAGATATAGTGGTCCACTTGGTTAAATATTTGCAAGACTATTTGCCACACGTATTTTGCATATACCCATCCAGAGTTTCTGAAGGGGGAATTTTATGTTCATCTGGGGTCTTAGAGATCTCATTCCCCAAAATTTAGAGTTCCTTTTTGGATTTCACCAAGTCGGGACATGTGTTGGACCTCAAATGTGCTACTTGCAGACCTAGCTTTTCAGGGTCATTACACCCTGAACTGGTTTGGTCCACCCATGTCACAGCTATCTGGTATATGTGTCAGGGGCTCAAGGTGTGGGAGGGATCAGCTCCTTATATGCACCTGTCAGCTCAGATTAGACCCTAAGTATGTTCTTCTGAGGGGGAAACCTATTTAGAGACACTGCGCAGCTTAGGGAGCATTTCTCCCAGTCACCCTCACGTGATTCTCAGTCAGCTGAGAATGCCCCAAGAGGCCGAGGGGAGCAAGGTGCTCTTATTTCTTTTTCAGAGTGGAAGATTCCACCTTCATGAGCTAGAGGGTTTGGAGTTGGTCAGATCTGATAGGGGAAATAACGGACACACACACACACACACACACACACACACACACACTACACACTCCAAACAAGCAAACAGAACTAGAAACAAACAACAAAACAGTTAAGCAAAACTGACAATAATGACATAAATTACAGGATTTCTGAGTGCTCTAAGTGTTAAGTGGGAAATTAACCCAGCTGGTTGTTAATGCTAATTTTAGTCATTTAAAAGAGTTTGCAGGACACAATCCCAAATCAGTTCTTTACCTAGTGATGGAGGCACAAGCTGAAGACCACTTTCTGCTGACAGAGAAGCAACAGAAGCAGACAGGCTCACCCTCCTTGATGAAAACGAGGGGAAACTCCCACAAAAAATGAGTTTTATGTATTTTTTTATTTTTGTAGCAAATAAACCTCAGACCCCCGGATCCTGGAAAAACTTGGAAGATCAGGGATCCCTGGAGGAAAGAGGTCTTGGACTTCAGAAAATTGTCCTATTGGTTTGGGCTATGAGGTGCCCAAGTAGGTAGCAAACATCGAGAGATGAGAGGTTGCAGGCTGGGTCACTTTGACTCAGGATTCCTCCATGGTTACCAGATGTCAATAGAGAAAAATGATGAGACAAACCTCAATCATTTTAGGAGATTTATTTGCCAAAGTTAAGGGCACACACCTGGGAGATAGGCTTATGCTTTTCTGCAAAGATGACTTTGAGGATTCCAAATTTAGAGTGGAAAGGGTGGGATATTGAGAAGTACCCAATTTTCATGTAAGGGGGGGTAGGGAAAAATAGTCGTTCATGCCTTTGTCTGCCTCAGTGAATCTACGTTTTTAACATAAGATGACATAAAACAAACGGGACAGAGAAAAAAATGCAGAGAATTTGCCATTACATGGGTGACTGCACCTGTAAAAATAAGCTATCAATTTGCATTGCCATAATGAAATTTTAAGAGCTCACTAGGAATTTCCTTGTGGGAAACATATGGGGGAGGTGTATAGCTTTCCATGTTGCAATCATCGTATTTAGGAACCAAAAGGGAGGGGCAGGTTTGTGTGACCCAGTTCCCAGATTGGCTTTTCCCTTTGACCAATGGGTTTGGGGTCCCCACATTTAATTTCCTTTCTCAATAACATAGAATTCTTCAAAGCAATAGTAACTACTTAATATCATTAAATATTGTGCTCATATTTCTCTGATACTCAATTCATTTTTTCAGAGTTGGTTTAAATCATACTATTTAATCTAATACCTGAACTTTCATATCTCTTTCCTTGTTTGTTTTTTCTTACCAGCATTTCCCATGAATCTATTAAGTATTTCACTTCTTATTGTGTTTAGCCTCTGTCTGTCCAGCAAACAATATCTGGTATAATAAGTACCTGTCAAAATAATTGTTGAGTAAATGAAGAGCTTGGAGCTTAATAGCAAGTCCTTTATTTTGCTAGTGCATTTTGAAAGGTATAAGAATAGATGGACTGAAGTCTTGTGATGCCTGGTAAACCTTCCTTCCTCCCACACTTCTCCCTTTTGCTCCCCTCACCCTGAGTGTGTGTGTGTGTATGCGTGTGCGTGCGCGCGTGCAGGTGTGTGTGTGTGTGTCTGTCTCTCTGTCTGTCTCTCTTTGTCATTTCCTCCCTCTCCACAATGGACATGGCTAGGTGAGGGATGCACAAATGTATAAAAATGTAATGCTTTAAATTCAGATGAAAAATATAATACCTGTAGACTGAAGACAGGAATAGTACAAGCAGAATTCAAGGGCTCCATAGCAGCCTGTCGATGTAATCCATTGAAGGTTTTCTCTGCCTGTCTAGAGTTGTACTGACAGCCTTTCCTAAAGCAAGTTTTCGTTTGAGGATAGAGAATGCAAAGGTGACTATATCTGGTGTAGTGATCCCTGTCCTCCCCAGGGTTGACCTTTCAAGGGGGCAGAATTACAAGCTATCCTCAGTTTGTGCTTTGGAGATATTATCAAAATAACCCCAGTTTTATTTTATGATACACATTCAGAATCATAGTCTTTGTGTTTGAATTTGAATTTCCGTCTCCAGGTACAGACCCATAGTGACTTTCAGAATTAGTACACTAATTCCTTTGTAGATTCTGGATATCAGCCCTTTGTCAGATGGGTAGATTGCAAGTTTTTTTCCCATTCTGTTGGTTGCCAGTTCACTCTAATGATTGTTTCCTTTGCTGTGCAGAAGCTCTGGGGTTTAATTAGGTCCCATTTGTGTATTTTGGCTTTTGTTGCCAATGCTTTTGGTGCTTTAGTCATGAAGTCCTTGCCTACTCCTATGTCCGGAATGGTTTTGCCTAGGTTTTCTTCTAGGATTTTTATGGCATTAGGTCTTATGTTTAAGTCTTTAATCCATCTGGAGTTAATTTTAGTGTAAGATGTCAGGAAGGGGTCCAGTTTCTGCTTTCTGCACATGGCTAGCCAGTTTTCCCAACACCATTTATTCAACAGGGAATCCTTTCCCCATTGCTTGTTTTTGTCAGGTTTGTCAAAGATCAGATTTACAAGAAAAAAAACAAACCCATTCAAAATTGGGTGAAGGATACTTTTGGGTGAACAGATACTTTTCAAAAGAAGACATTTATGAGGCCAACAAACATATGAAAAAGTACTCATCATCACTGGTCATTAGAGAAATGCAAATCAAAACCAGATTGAGATACCATCTCACGTCAGTTAGAATGGTGATCATTAAAAAATCTGGAGACAACAGATGCTGGAGAGGATGTGAAAAAATAGGAACACTTTTACACTGTTTGTGGGAGTGCAAATTAGTTCAACCATTGTGGAAGACAGTGTGGTGATTCCTCAAGGACCTAGAATAGAAATTCCATTTGACCCAGCAATCCCATTACTAGGTATATATCCAAAGGACTATAAATCGTTCTACTATAAGGACACATGCACACGAATGTTCATTGCAGCACAGTTTACAATAGCAAAGACCTGGAACCAACCTAAATGCCCATCGATGATAGACTGGACAGGGAAAACGTGGCACATATACACCATGGAATACTATGAAGACATAAAAAATGATGAGTTTGTGTCCTTTGTAGGGACATGGATGAATCTGGAAACCATCATTCTCAGCAAACTGACACAAGAAGAGAAAATCAAACATCACATGTTCTCACTCATAGGCAAGTGTTGAACAGTGAGAACAAATGGACACAGGGAGGGGAGCATCACACACTGGGGTCTGTTGGGGGGGAATGGGGAGGGACAGCAGGGGGTAGGGAGGTGGGGAAGGATAACATGGGAAGAAATGCCAGATACAGGTGACGGGGGTGTGGAGGCAGCAAACCACATTGCCATGTATGTACCTGTGCAACAATCCTGCATGTTCTACACATGTACCCCAGAACCTAAAGTGCAATAATATATATATTATAATATATATAATACATATATATATAATATATATAGAGGTTCTGGGTGCAATAATATATATGTGTGTGTGTGTGTGTATATATATATATATATACATATGAATACTAGCTCCTCTTCATGAATATTACCTTCTAAAGAGGCCCTCAGGGTAGATCAAATTCCCTTGGGGATTCCCTCTAAGGGACGACTTGAGCTTGGGACACCAGTTGGAGATTTCCAGCAGTTTTCTGGGGGAAAATGGGGCATGAAGATGGCAATTGAGGTAACAGAGGCAGCTGGGATGGAAGTAGATAGAGTACCATAAGTTCAGACAGCTCCACAAAAGACGGGTGGTTTCCTTGGGGATGGAGCCTTCATTACGGTGGTTTACTGAGGCCCCTGCCGTTACCGGCTCTTAGTAAGGATTTTCCACGTGAAAGAGCTGTGATTACAGGGGCAGGCAAAGGTTAAGGATCAGATTACCCATTCCCTCCTAGTTGACTTCAGGTAGTTTGATAGGGCAGGACAGATTATCCCTTGGAGCATGCACTGAGGGAGGAGGGGTAGAGGGAAAGAGAACAAACATGAGAGCAAGAGAATTGGCAGGATCCTCCCTCCTACCTCTTCCTAGGCCCACACCCAGTGAGTTTTGCGCGTTAAGACGCCAAGATCCCTTAGCCGCGCCCAGGCTGAGATCCGTGGCTCCTGTGGAAATGAGCATGGCTGGGCACCGCGTGCTGCTTCTAGTGGGCTTCCTTCTCCCTAGGGTCCTGCTCTCAGAGGCTGCCAAAATCCTGACAATATCTACACTGGGTGAGTGCTTGGCCAGAGAATTCCCAGACAGGCGCGTCCCGGATACCTGCACTGCCAGGGCTCCAGCGAACCGCAATTGATCAGAGTCATCTAGGCGGTTTTCCGGGTTGGGCTTGCGGACCGGGCTGGAGGAGGGAGAAGCCCATCCAGCTGTGGGTCAGAGAGGGGCCTCTATTGCTGAGGTAGGGAAAATAGTTTTGGAAAAAAGAGACTCTCCTTTCCTCTCTCTTCCTGTTCAGGACGCGCTCCCCATAGGGCAGGGCTGGGGCCAGAAATTTGAGACCCACACCAGACCTTGAGTTCCTGGGCTGATTTTCCAGAGCGCAAGCTCATCCGGAGCCAGGGTGGCGCAGGCAGGTATTTCAGGGCTGCAAGGCCAGTGGAGTGTTTTTCTTCAGAGGAGACCCGGAGAACCGCCCAGGTCATTCGGATCTTTCTGAGCCTCCTTCCTTTTACCTGTGCCATTGACAGTTTTTGAGGGATTCATGGGACTGTTAATTCTGCATTTGGGGCCTCAGTTTTATTTTGTTTTTATTCCAAAGGAAGTAGAAGATGAAAGAGAATCACATATGAGCTTAAATCGATCCTCCAAGGATCGAGCTTCCCCAAGACTTTATTTCAATCCACAGTGGGTTTTAATGGATTCCTTTTCGATCACGGAGAATCAGTCAGGGCTCAAGACAGCTGGAAGGAACCACAGATCATCTAATTCAGTGCCCTTTTGATTTTGAGAGGGCAACTGAGGGATGGGGAGTGAGATGCCTTTCTTAAGAGGACATGTGTCCTCTCTAATGTCCCATGAAGAATTGACTCAGGGCGTCTTACCCCAAGACCACACTCACCACAGCTTCCACTCTGAGGCCCTTTTCACTAAGAATTTTGAAAAATCACTAAGAAACTGTTAGTCCATTTGAAGACTTTTCCCTCCTTTCTGAATGTTAGTCGCAGTGAAGCAATAGAGCTTGCAAATTTCTTGAAAGTACACTGTCCTTCCTCAGACTCCAAAAGGGAGCTGGTGTAGTTTCTGAATCCTGGTGCTGGAATCCTGGTCTTTGCCCTAGAATGCTATCTGACTCCTTAAGACACACCATGAATGGCTATTTCTGTGAGGACCCCCTTCTTCCGGGCGCCCTGTTCTTACATGGATTAAAATGTGAGCAAGACCTGTGGCAGATTTGTACTTTATATATCCCTTGTTGCTTTAGACTATTCAAGTCTGGATATAAGTAAACTGACTCATTCAGAGAGCTGCACACCACTTCTCTACTCCCCTTCCACCTCTACCTTCAAACTCTTGGCATTTTTTTTATAAATTTCTCTTCTGATCTTCCTTTTTCTGCTGCTGAGACCATTAGATTCCAGTGAAGGCTCTGTGTTGGAACAGGTACTAAGAGAAGACATTAATATGACCAAGCTTCTCTTTTCCTAGCTTGGTGGAATTTTCCGAGAATCAGTGATTCCTTAGTTTCTGGTCCAACCAGGATCTAGTAGGCTCATCCCAAGGGCTCCACAGTTGTCCTCAGATATCTTACTTGTAAGTTGAATACTGGCCCAAATTGAGTAATTTCCTGCTAAGTACATTTGAATCTCAATGATTTGGGCTCTAAGTAATAGCTTCTGTCCAATGGCTGTTTCTTAGACTCACCTTGTAACGTCTATATTTCTGTCTCCTACAATAGCATACATTACCAGAATAGGACAGCAGTTAGCTCTGACTGATTGCCCATTAGGAACCCTGTATACTAATGTGCACACCTACTGTACTATATTTTCTACCATTGCACTTATATTTTGGAGACAATGTCTCTCTAAGACACCAATTAACATGCAGCACGTACCTTAAGATGAGCAACTTTTACAGGCCTTTCATCTTCCCTGTATTTGTTCTACTGGATTTCCATTCCTCCCTCCCATATTGTCATCAGAAACTCTATTTTCATTTTTACAAAACGACACTGTGCTTTGTTTCTAGGTGGAAGCCATTACCTACTGTTGGACCGGGTGTCCCAGATTCTTCTAGAGCATGGTCATAATGTGACCATGCTTCTTTTAAGTGGAAAGCATTTAGCTTCAGGTAACGTTTTTTAAAACTAATTTTTATATTCTTTTACTCTAAGCAAAAAGTGACAATATCTTTTTATAGGACTGCATAATAAAAACATCTTTGAATCTAGTCTTATTTCGGGTTGAATAAATGTGTGTGTGTGTGTGTGTGTGTGTGTGTGTGTGTGTGTTCATGTTAAGTATTGGAAATCTTATTGGGGTCTGTAGACAAAGACTTCATATGCCAAACTTCCATATTTTACCACTTACCTGGGTGTCATTCTATTCTAGGCAACTCTCCACACATTATTATTAATTATTTTGAGAAATACCACACAATAGTATGGCTTAAATTTTTTTTGAACGGAAATGTTTAGCCATATTTAAGGCTTTTACTATGTAAGTATAGATGTCCTTCCTATCCCACAGGTTACTTTCTATTCTTGTGATCCTTAAAATTTATGAAATATTTCCCAGGGAGCCTCTTAATTATGAACTAAGATGAGAATATATAATTAATATGACCTCACATGCTTGAAAAATTAGTAGCTATGCATAAGTTGTGCATAATGATGTCAGAAGTTCTTAATTGATTCATTGCCTCCAAAGAATTGTAACTAAAATGAAGCTCATCAGTTCCTGTTGACAGATAAGGACACAGAGGCCCAGAGAACTTAAGTAATTTGTTTAATGTCAAATGGAAAATTGATAACAGAGTTGGGTGAATCTGGGACTTCAGGCTCTGGCTTTCTCAATCTGAGTGTTTCGGAAGCTTTGAACAAAATCTGAAATTAACCATCTCCAGAGAAAAAGTCTGAGTAATTATAAAGTTCTGAAGGTAAACTTCAGGCTTTGTTATTGTTCTGATAGTTTGAAAGCACTTTTGATCACCTTCTAAATTGAGTTTCATAATGTTCACAGAATATCCTTTTTACACATTTCCCTTTTATCTGCCTTTATAGTCAGTCTGATTTCCCAGCAGTAATATATGGTCATCTTATTTTGGTGGTTCTAATAGCCTTTGAGTAACTGCTGAAAGCTATAGACTCACTACTTTAGCGAAACATGCACACCAAAATCTACAAACAATTCTGTGCATTCATGGATCCGTTCAGTTTTATCTTTGGGTTCAAAGTGTTGGGGTTCACGTGTTCTAGAGTTTCTTTCAGTATTCCTCAGTCTTTGGACATTTTTGAGGTTGAGATGAAATATTCTTTCTTCTATTTTGCAGTAGTATTTGGGTAGAGCTCTTAAACTAGGAAAAACACTTGATCGAGTTGTTTTCGTTAGTCTGATAGCCAAATCAGTGTATCAAAATATTTGAACATGTGTTTACTACATGTTTCCATCACTTACTTATTTAAAACTTTAGTAAATAAATGACTCTGGAGATACTAAAGAAGTGTGGGTTTCTGGTGTTCACATGTAATGTTTTTCCAATTCATAACTGAAATTTCAAGTGTGGGATAGCAGCCTAAAGGAGAACTTAATTATTTGAGGTTCTGACTCCTTTCCTTTTTTTTAAAAAAAAAATTAGTTTTATATTGCTAGATAATAGATGTACATATTTTCAGGGTACATGTGATAACATAATACACTTTATATAATTTGTTACAATCAGTGTAATTGGGATACGCATGACCTTGAATATTTGTTTTTTCTTCTAGAAGCATTTAAATTATTCTCTTCTAGCTACTTTGAAATATACAATAGATTATTGTAAACTATAGTCACCCTACTGATCTATCAAACACTAGATCTTATTTCATCTGTAAAGCTATAGATGTGTACTCATTAATCAACCTCTATCCATCTCCCCTCTCCAGTACCATTTCTAGTCTCTAGTAACCGCCAATCTACTCTCTATTTTTATAAGATCCACTTTTTAAAGCTGTTACATATGTGTGAGAACATGGGATATTTTTCTTTCTATGCTTGGCTTATTTCACTTAATATAATGGCCTTCAATTCCATCCATGTTGCTGTAAATTACAGTATTTCATTATTTTCTATAGCTGAATAATATTTCATTGTGGATTTAAATCACATTTTCTTTACCTATTAGTCCACTGATGTGCACTTAGGTTGATTCCTTTATTTTGGCTATTGTAAACAATGCTGCAATAAACATGGGAATGCAGCTGTCTCTTCAATATATTGATTTTTTAAAATTTTGAATTACATATCCAGTAGTGAAATTGCTGCATCATATAATAGTTCTGTCTTTAGTTTTTTGAGGAACCTTGATAGAATTTTCCATAGTGGCTGTACTAATTAAGAGTGTATGAGGATTCCCCTTTCTCGGCTTTCTGGTCAGCTTTCATTATTCCCTGTCTTTCTGATAAAAGCCATTTTAACTGTGATGAGATGATACCACATTGTGATTTCGATTTGCATTTTTCTGATTATAAACGATGCTGAACATTTCCTTATATACTGTTGGTTATTTGTATGTTGCCTTTTGAGAACTGTCTATTCAGATTTTTTCCCCATTTTTAACTGAATTATTTATTTGCTATTAAGTTGTTTGAGCTGCTTATATATTCTGGTTATTAATCCATTATGAAATGGATAGTTTGCAAATATTTTTTCAACTCTTTGGGTTGTCTTTTCATTTTGTCGACTGTTTCCTTTGCTGTGCAGAAGCTTTTTGGCTCAATGTACTACCATTTGTCCATTTTTGCTTTGGTTGCCTATACTTTTGACGTATTACTAAAAAGTCTTTGCTGAGACCGATGTCTTGAAATAGTTCCTCAATGTCTCCTTCTAGTAGTTTCATAGTTTCAAGTCTTAGAATAAGTTTTAAATCCATTTTGACCTTATTTTTTTGTATGAGAGGTAGTGCCTTGGTTTTATTCTTCTGTATATATTCAGTTTTCCAGTTTCTCCAGCACCATTTATTGTAAAGACTCTCCTTTCCCCATTGTATGTTCTTGGTGTTTTTGTTGAAGATGAGGTTGCTATAAATGTGTGAGTTATTACCTGGGCTCTTCTGTTCTGTTAGCCTGTGTCTGTTTTCATGCCAGTACCATGCAGATTTGGTTACAGGTTTGCAGTATATTTTGAAGTCATGTAGTTTGATGCCTCTGGCTTTAATTTATTTGCTCAAGATTTCTTTGGCTACTCAGGGTCTTTAATGGTTTTATATACATTTTATAATTTTTTTCTATTTCTGTGAATGATGTCATTGATATTTTGATAATAATTGCATTGCATCTGTAAGTTTTCTTTGGGTAGTATTGTGATTTTAACAATATTGATTCTTCTAGTCCATGAATAAGGAATAGCTTTCAATTTCTTGTGTCCTCTTCAATTTATTTCATTGGAGTTTTATAGTTTTCCTTGTATCTGGCTTTTACATCTTTTGCTAAATTGATTTATAGGTATTTTATGTTTCTTGCTGCTATTATACATGGAATTGTGTTATTGGTTTCTTTTTTAGATTGATATATAGAATTTTTGTATATTGATTTTTTAATCCTGCAACTTTACTGAATTTGCTTATGAATTCTAATAGTTTTTTTCTGGCATTTCTAGGTTTTTAAAGTGTAAGATCATGTCTTCTGTGAACAAGGCTAATTCCATTACTTCCTTTCTAATTTGGATATCTTTATCTATTTATGTTGCCTAACTTCTCTGTCCAGAACTTCCAATATAATGTTGAATAAAAGTAGTGAAAGTGGGCATCATTGTCTTATTTCAGATCTTAGAGGAAAGGCTTTCAATTTTTCCCATTTAGTAAGATGTTAGTTGTGATGTGTCATATATTGCCTTTATGATTTTGAGGTATGTTCCTTCTATACCTAGTTTGTTGAGGGTTTTTAAAAAATTATATAAAGGTGTTGAATTTTACTGCATGCTTTTATGCATCTGTTGAAATGATCATATGGTTTTTGTTCTTGGTTCTGTTACTGTGATGTATCATGCTTGTTGATTTGCATATGTTGAACTACCCTTGCATCCCTGGGATGAATCCCACTTGATCATGGTGAATGATCTTTTTCATGTGTTGTTGAATTTGGTTTGCTAGTATTTTGTTGAGGATTTTTGCATCTATCTTTGTCAGTTATATTGGCCTATAGTTTTTGTTTTTCTTATTGTGCTCTTGTCTGATTTTGGTATCAGAGTATGGCTTGTGCTATAGAATGAGTTTGAAAGTAGTCCCTTGTCTTCAATTGTTTTGAAGACTTTGAATAGAATTGCTATCAGTTATTTAGCTCTTTGGTAGAATTTGTCAGTGAATTCATCAGGTCCTGGGCTTTTATTTAATGGGAGATTCTTTATTATGGCTTTGATCTCATTCCTCATCATAAGTTTGTTGAGGTTTTCCTATTGCTTGATGGTCGGTCTTGGTAGGTTTTATGTGCCTTGGAATTTATCCTTTTCTTCTAGGTTTTCCAATTCATTGGCATACTGTTGTTTGTAAGAATATAGACTTTTAATGATTCTTTATATTTCTGTGGTCTCAGTTGTTATATCTCTTTTTCTGTTTCTGATTTTATTTATTTGGATCTTCTCTTTTTATTTTTCAGTCTGGTGTACTAGTCTGTTTTCACACTGCTCTAAAGAGCTACCTGAGACTGGGTAATTTATGAAGAAAAGAGGGGTAATTGTCTCACAGTCCCACAGGCTGTAGAGGAAGCATGGCTGGAAGGCCTTAGGAAACTTACAATTATGGCAGGAAGTGAAAGGAAAGCAAGCACATCTTACCATGGTGCAGCAGGAGAGACAGAAGGCAAATGGGGAGGTGCTACACACTTTCAAACAACCAGACCTCATGGGAACTCAACACTGTTACGAGAACAACAAGGAGGAAATCTGCACACATCCAATTACTTCCCATCAGGACTTTCCTCCAACACTAAGGATCACAACTTGAGATGAGGTTGGGTGGGGACACAAAGCCAAGCTATGCCATTCCACTCTGGCCCCTTCCAAATCTCATGTCCTTCTTATAATTCAAAACAAAACCATGCCTTTTCAACAGTCTTTCAAAATTTTAACTCATTCCAGCCTTAATTCAAAGTCCAA